CCCCAAAGCCCCCCCAAAATTTACCCAGGTACCCCCCCCCCCACCCCCCAAAAATATCCCGGTATACCCCGAAAAATTACCACAGTAAAATTCCCAAATGCCCCTCTCCCAAAATAGCCCAGTAACCCCATCCCTCCAAAATATTATACCCACCCAAATTACCACAGTAAAATTCCGAAATGCATCCCAAAAATACCCCGGTATCCCCCCCACCAAGAATGCTGGTAGAAACCCCCCCCAAAAATTACCACAGCAAAACTCCCAAATGCCTCCCCAATATACCCCAGTAATAGCCCAAATACCCCGGTATTACCCCTCAATCACTGGAAAATCCCCCCAAAATATCCCCCCCCCGTATATACTTCCCAAATGTGTCCCAAAATTATCCCAGTGAAGCTTCCAAATGCCCTCAAATACCTCAGTAAACGCTTAAAAATACCCCAGTATAGTGAAGGGGGTTGAGTAGGTTGGGTCTGTACTCATTGGTGTTTAATAGAATGAGAACATAACAAACAGGAGCAGGAATAGCCCATCTGGCCGGTTGAACCTGGTCCGCCATTCAATAAGATCTTGTTGTTGACTCAGATCTGCCTACTCACCATAATCTTTAATTCCATTACTGTTGAAAATCTATTTTTGCCTTAAAACATTCAACGAGGTAGCCGCAACTACTTAAAAAAACCTGAAAGAACTGCGGATGCTGTAAATCAGAAACAAAAACAAAGTTGCTGGAAAAGCTCAGCAGGTCTGGCGGCATCTGTGAAGTTCTGAGGAAGGGTCACCGGACCCGAAACGTTAACTCTGTTTTCTCCTTCACAGATGCTGCCAGACCTGCTGAGCTTTTCCCTTCAGCTACTTCACTGGGCAGGGAATTCCACAGATTTACAACCCTTTTCCCTGTACCCTTTCATTTCTTTAACATCTGAAAATTTATCTATCTCTTTCCTGAATATACTCAGTGACTTGTCCTCCACAGGTTCGCTGCCCTTTGAGTGAAGATATTTTTCTTCATCTCAGTCTCAAACAGTCTGACTCATATCCTGAGACTAAGTCCCCTGGTTTGAGATTCCCCAACCAGGGAAAACCACTTCCTGTATCTAGTCTGTTAGAATTCTCTATGTTTCAATCAGATCCCTCTCTAATCCTTCTGAACTTGAGCGAACGTAGGCCCGGTCAATCCAATCTCTCCTTAAAGGACAGTCCTGTCAGCCCCAGTAGCAGCCTAGTGAACTGCTGCTGCACTCCATCTATGACAAGTATAGAAGGAGCGAGACTCTGAAAGCTTGTGTCTTCAAATAAACCTGTTGGACTATAACCTGGTGTTGTGTGATTGTTGACCTTATCCATCCCAGTCCAACACCAGCACCTCCACATCAAGTGTATCTTAGGCAGAGAGACCAAATCAGCGTGTAATACTTATTATGTTGACTCCCTGTCTCCTCAACCAATTGTCATCCATATTGTACAATGATTTCTATATTTCGTGACCTCTCAAGGTTAGGAAGTGAATATTCCAGGAACTTTTACATTTCAAAAAGACATGCTAAAGGGAAAAGCTGGGCAGAGGTTGGCAAAGTAGATGACACAAGGACAATTGTGAGGAAGGAGCTTGGCTCAGAAATGCAGTGAATAGAATCACCAGGGTGTAGTGAACCAACAAGGGCCATATAATACTGATGCGTGGAGTTAATGGGACCCCCAACAGCTACAAGACAACTGGATACAGCATTAATCCAGAAATATTGTTCGGACACAGAGACAGACAACCACAACACAGTAAAATTAAAATCTTCAAACACCCTCAAAATTGACCGCAATGGTTCTTAACCAGACTTTTGAATACCTAATCCCATAATCTGCGAGTTATCAATTCCAGACACTGGTTTGTCATTTAAACAAAAGATTTAGCAACTTAATATAGTAACTTTAGCACAGCAAAATAAAACAACAGAGCAATCTAATTGGTCTATGCTATAAGTGCAAAAACATTTGTTTTCAGCCCTATTCATACAAAAGACGGTCAGACAAATAAGCGCAGTTAAGGGATAAATAAAAGAAAATAAAAAAAAACTGGCCAGATTGCTTAAGTAGCTTTCTCAATGTGTTGTTGCACAGATGTAGATGATGGTTCCTTGGTTGGTTTCCTGAAGATGCTGATCAGGGTCACTCAGATAAAGGCAGTGAGACTTATAATTTACTTTTCTAATCTCAGCTTCCAAGAGCTGCTCAGGGGAGCTTTCCAATCTTCATGATGTAGCATCAACAGCCAGATGCCTTTTTCAGTGAAAACACAGTCCAAAAACACAATTCAACACTGACCACCCAGTGACAGACTAACCATCTCCTCCACGAGGTACCAGTTTTATTGAAACATGGAAGATAAAAGTAGGCCATTTGACCCCTTGAGCAGATCATAGTAGATCACTGATGTCAATACCTAATCCTGCCCTCCCCCAGATCCCCGATTCTTTTAGCCAAAAAAGCTCTACCTATCTCCTTTAAATAATGTTTTAACCTTAACTACCTTCTGTGACAGTGAATTCCACAGCATCAACACTCTCTTTGTATCCTCTGGTTAGAATCCTAAAGTCCCTACAGTGTGGAAGCAGGCCATTCAGCTCATCAAGTCCACACTGACCCTCTGAAGAGCATTCCACCTATCCCTGCCCCCCCACCCTATCCCTGTAACCCCACATTTTGAATGGCCGATCCACCTAGACTGCACATTTGAGAACACTATATGCAATTTAGCATGGCCAATCCACCTAGACTAGACATGTGAGGAAGGAAGACCTGGGAGGAAACTGGAGGAAACCCATACAGACGGGGGAAAGAATGTGCAAACTCCACACAGGCAGTCATCCAAGCGTAGAATTGAACCCAGGTCCCTGGCTGTAAGGCAGCAGTGCTAACCGCTGAGCTACCATTCTGGACTTCCCCATCATCAGGAACTCAGGAACCTGCCTTCGTGCATCTAACATGTCTCGTCCTGTTAGAATTTGTTTTCTAGGACATTCCCCCTTCATTGGAATGGCACAGTGGCTCGGTGGTTAGCGCTACTGTCTCACAGCACCGGGGACCCAGGTTTGATTCCAGTCTTAGGCGACTGTCTTGTGAGAAGTTTGCATGTTCTGCGTGGATTTCCTCCCACAGTCCAAAGATGTGCAGGTTAGGTGGGTTTGCCACACAAAAAAGCTACATGTCGGGTTTGAGGTGGGATGGGGTTTGGCGTTGGGTGGGGATGCTCTTCGGAGGGTCAGTACAGACCCAATGGGCCAATGGCCTCTCCCTGCACTGTAAGGATTCTATTATTCATTCTTTTAAACTCCAGTGAATAAAGTTCTAGCCAGCTCAATCTCTCCTCATTACATTAATTCTGCCATCCCAGGAACCAGTCCGGTAAACCTTTACTGAACTGTCTCTCTTGCAAGAAATCTTTCCTTAGATAAGGAGACCAAAACTGCACACACTATTCCAGGCGTGGCTTCACCAATGTCCTTGTTCCTATACTCAAATCCTCTTACTATGAAGGCCAACACGCAGTTTGCCTTCTTTACTGCCTGCTACACTTGCGTGCTTGGGGGTGTTTGGGTTAGTGGGCACCCGCATGGGCCCAAGCTATGCCTGCCTCTTTGTAGGATACATGGAGCAGTCCGTCTTCCGCTGGTACTTTCCCCCACCTCTTCCTCCGCTACATCGATGACTGTATCAGTGCTGCCTCGTGCTCCCACGAGGAGCTTAAACAGTTCATCAACTTTATTAACATCTTTCACCCCAACCTCAAATTCACCTGGAGCATCTCCGATACCTCCCTCTCCTTTCTGGACCTTTCCATCTCCATCTCTGGTGACTGCCTCGAAACTGACATCTATTTCAAGCCCACTGACTCCCATAGCTACCTGGACTACACCTCCGCTTACCCACCCTCCAGCAAGAATGCGATCCCTTACTCCCAATTCCTCCGCCTCTGCTACGTCTGCTTCCAAGATGGGGCGTTCCACTCACGCACATCCCAGATGTCCTCCTATTTCAAGGACCGTAACATCCCCTCTGGTGATCAGAAATGCTCTCAACCTCATCTCTTGCATTTCCTGCACTTCTGCCCTCACATCCCCTACCCCCAGCAAAAATAAAGACAGAATTCCCCCTTGTCCTCACATACCAACCCACCAACCTCCGTATCCAGCATATCATTCTCTGCCACTTCTGCCACCTACAATCTGACCCCATAAAGAGATATTTCATCTCCACCCCTATCTGCCTTTCATAGGGACTGCTCTCTCCATGCCTCCCTCATCCGTTCCAGTCTCCCCACTAGCCCCACCACCCCCGGCACCTTTCCCTGCAACCACAGGAAGTGCTACACCCGCCCCTATACCTCCCCCCTCACTTCCATTCAAGGCACAAAACAAACTTTGCATATCACACAGGGGTTCATCTGCACATCCTCCA